CAATTCCAGTTAGTATTGGCCCTGAGGCAGCTAAAACTTTGTTCATCTTCAATGCCTTGTTGCCTAGTCTCTCGTAATCTTCACTGTCTTTTCTCTTGATCACCTCAACGACTTCTCTCATTTCCATTTCAAGCTCCTCGGTCCATCCATTGCTTTCTACCTTTCCCTTAAAGTATTTTTCTTTGTTGGTTTTCTGAGACTGGATCTTAGGCCACCAAACTGTAGGTTCTAAACTTTCAGGGAATTTTTCAAGCATTACACCAAGCAAGGGAAGAGGGTAAGCTTTATCAAGTGCCAAGACTTTCTCCATAGCATCTTTCACGTCTTCTTTGCTTGGAGAGCCAGTAGCAAGTTGGGTTTCTATTTGTCGCTGAAGCTGCTTAAACAATCTCGTCGCATTACGTTGCTCTTCCACGAGTTGTGAGGGTTGGATTTTATTCATCAACACCAACATTCCCGTGGCTGCAGAGAACAAGAGAGTCGACGCCAACTTCAAACCCAAATCAGAAGCCCCAGGGCAGCAGGTTGCCGTAAAGCCAGCCACGGGATCATGTTGATGGAATTAAGGAGAAGGGTGTTCCAGTTGTCCCGTTGTTGCCCGACGTTGTTGTGCATCTCCACTCTGTCGGTAATGGACTCTAAGATAGCATAAAGTTGTAAAGTAGGCATTGAAACGGATGAGCTTCCTTGAACCAATGGTGACCTAACGAGATTCTTTTCAAATGGAATTGTGTTGATGAACCCTTCCCTAGTATTCAATTCCACAGACAACCCTTTGGCGGGTGCTTTTGGAACTGAAAACCTAATTGATGGAACCTTTGGAACAGATAGAGCGGAATGAATTTGCTTTGAAGATGATGAAGAAGAAGAGAGCAGAAAAGTAGAAGCTTGTAAAGAAGCCATAACGGCGTTTCTTCTTTAAGAACTCTTCCGATTGTGAATTTGTATAGGAAGTAAGTTATGGAAGATTTGTGGTTTGAGCAAAGAAATGAAAGATCTGTTTGCAGTTGTATTGGATGAAAAGCGAGGGGGTTGGAAGCTTTATTTATAGCAAAGAATGACAGATTTGAGGAGATCAAGTCGTGTTAGGAAAATGTTGACCGAGTGATTGAATTGACTAGGGCTCTTTGTCTGACCGGTTCGCTTTAGATTATTTGCGCTGGGGTCTTAACACGGGAACCGGTAAAACAACTACTCATTGCTTTGACGTCTTATGGATTCAAAGGAAATGAGATCGGCAAAGGCATGTTAATTACCAGCTTTTTCTCCTACCCAGCACTCAAAGCAGCCTAAACATTTATAGACATCTTCTGCACAAGGCTTCCATATATTTGCTTTTGGCACATAAACTCCATCTTTTGAGATCAATAATATTATATATATATATATATAAGCGCAAATGGTTGAATTTATAACTTGAAAATCGAATTCAAGTTTTGCAGACGACTTCCCAAAATATGCCGCTGTTTACATTCAACACACTTCACGTTGTCATCTGCATTCAAACTTTTTTGGTTTTTGCATTTGTTTTGACTACATATTAACACTTCTGATTTCTTTTTCAGGTATTTTTAAGGTATAAATATTTATTATTAAATTATTTTTAAATTTAATCCTCAATCTTTTAAAATACCTTTGAAAAATATTAACAAAATATTAAATTTTAAATAATTTTGAAGTTGATGACTTATATAACAATCTAGGTCCATTTCACATTGATTTAGTATTATTTATTGTCTATGTCATAATAATAAATAACGAAAATTATAAAAATAAAATTAAAAAAATTCAAAAACCATCTTAATAAGATCATATTTATTCTAAAAATTTAATACTTGAACCTACAACCCCAAAGACAACAACCACCCTTTTAAAAGTGGTGGATCCAGAAATTTAAGAATGTGATCCAAAATTTTAATTTTTTTTTTAAATAATAGGTATACAAAAATTGTAATTTTTTCTTTTTTCCTTAACACATTAAGCTAAATTTAACCATTTTTCTAAAATAATGGGATGCATTTGGCCCCTATGGGAGCTTAGTGCATCTGCCACTGCCCTTTAATCGTCGAGATAGTTTAATTTATGCAATTTTATTTTTCACTGTATCATTTGAATGAGATTAATTGATCCGGGTTTCGTTCTTTGGATATATTTGGATAATATCTTGACTTTTTCTATATGTTTGAAATATTTCTTATAATTCCGTAAGTCTTTGTATTCCGACTGGTCAATTCAAAATAAGCTCTTGTAAATTAATTTCCTTTTCCACACTTAAGGAGGGGCTTTAATACCAATTAATTTTATTAATACACTTATTTTATAGCTTAAGTGTTTTCATAATTTATTTATTTATTTAAATAAATATACATATATATATAGTATTATCATTTATTAAACAATAGTTTGAATAGAGGTATGTTTTGTTTATTTTTAATGAATGAATTTGTTTATTACTTTATTTATTTAAATTTAATATTTTTAATAGAAGATACTTTAAAAAGTATATTTTATTTTATTTGTTTATTTTATATCTAAAAAATTATAATCATGTTACTTTTAATATTTTGTTCGTTTATCATCCATAAATAAAATTTTAATTATTCACAAATATATTATTGAATGTATTTGTTTAGTGCTCATAAATATATATATATATATATATATATATATATATTTAGTGCTCGCGTACATATTTTGTTTATTATTCATGATTTTTTTATAAATTTTAAATCTAATCCTAATCCTACTTAGATGTGGGGGGAAACTAGACTCTATGGGAAAGAATAGAGTGCTCATAGTGAGTTTAGAACCCATGACCTAAGAGAATATGAGGGAACAAAGATGAACAGATCAATCAACAAAATGTACTTGCTCAAAATTTTAGTTATTAACAATTATATTTAATTATAGGTTTGTGAAAATATTTGTGATTATGTTCATTTATTGTTTGTAAATATGTTAGATGAACATATTTATAAACACTATACGAGCATATTCGCATACATTAAATAAACACATGTATTTTATATGACAATGTATTAGTTAATATTAAATTTTAAAGAAAGCAAAATTGAACACGATTTAGTTTGAATGCTTCTCTGTGGTAGTTTAAATGTAAACTTAAAATGCAGGAAGACCCTGGATGCATGTGAAATCAAGAATCAAGCAGGAGTATCCCAAAGTACAGATGACTGCATGGACGGTATCACTTTGTTTCCCCTTCCGAGTACTAATAGAGTAATAGTTTATATATATTCATGTGAAAAAGAGGAGCCCTCTGCCAGTACTTAGAACCTACCTGAACGAAATTGCAGTTCTGGCCTGTTGTGGGATGGATAAATCACCAATACGTGCCGTTGCAGTTCCATGTCATTTTTAGCAGCCTCGCTGCAGTTCCATGTCAACGTTGAGCAGTGACTCACTTGGGCATTGTAAACAAAATTTTGCAGCCTTCATGATGATTGATTGATTGGGACAGACCAACTAAAATGAAAGTTATGGTCCAAAAAGGAAAGCTTGAGAAAATAAGAAAGCCATAAGCTTATGTTAGCATCTAGGAGTGGGAATTTGAGAGAGAAATGAGGTTTCTGGATTAGAAAAGTATGGAAGGAATGCAATAACAACTTCAGCTAGCACGAAAAGTCCCAGGATACTTCATGAGTCCATATAGATGGAATTGGTTTATAGAGTACAACATTATTTTTTTATTGTTATTACTCAATTGCCATAAAAATGTATTGTTGTATTGGTTGAACGTGGTTTTGTTTTTTTTTCAAATACATCAGTTTTTGGCTGTTTCAGAGTGTTCAGACTATGTTAAGCAAGAGCTAAGACAAAAAACTCTGGTCCACAGGCGATTGTCTGTTGCAAGTTTAGTTGCTCGTTATTGACGTTGAAAGTCAGCAATGGGAACCTCAAGTAGTAAGTATTAAATCACATGGACATTACAAATATAAATATTATATGTTATTTGATATCATTAAAAATAATTTAAATTGAAAATAATTCAATATGGTTAAAACTAATTGAGTTTTAATTATAAACTAAATACATGTAAATATTTAAATAATTAAATTTTAATGGATAATGAATGGATTAAAATTAAAGGTGAACATGCAAAGTAATATTAGGGTTAATGTCTCAAATTTAAAAATTATTTAATTTTTTTATAATCTTCAGAATAAGAAGTCACCATTTTTAAAATACTAGCGTTAATTTAAGAGATTAAATTCATGAGCACTCTCTTTAAACACAATTATTCAAATTTTAATTTTTTTAAGGAGAATAACATTTTATTTTATTATTAAGATCCTTATAGGTGGAATTAAGTAATGCGCCAAAGGTTCTCAAGGAGGAAATGATAATTTTGAGAGTTTTGGGTGAGTACACAAAGTTGGGTAGCAAAGCACTAAAACTTGGCAACTTAAGGCCCATTGTTACTATTTTAGGTCCTTTTGGGGAGTGGTCATTCTTCATTGCCCGTGGGTTGAGATGATGAGAGTCATAGCTCATAGCGGGTGTATTGGCAATGGCAACTAATACAGTGGACTAAACGGAAAATGGCGGCCAATTAGGGAATGGGGTCTGATGTATCGTTGCATTGCTGGTTTCTATAAGCTTATTGGACTGATCATAATGTCAAACATCAATGAAAAAGATGTCGATGGAAGCCATTCATCAGGAATTCGCTAGCAAGCTAATATTCTCATAGCATTTAATACTCGGAAAGTATTAGTCTAAACCGAATGTTCTCGCAATAATGTTTTATAACATGATAAATTAAATATTTGTATACGAATTATAGTCTAAAAACTTGTGGTTAGACAATGAAACCATCCAAATCATACAACTGCATGATCACATGGTGAACATGGAGTTCTATTTTCAAATGGCTAAGACAAAGTAAAATTGAAATCGATAAATAAATTGTATCCTATTACACCCATGTTCTAGTACGAGAAAACAACAAGGGATATTTGATTCACAAAATATAAAATTATTTATGAAAATAAATTACGAAATATGATTAAGATAAATATTATATCATTTTGAACTTGATTATCCGAACAAACTTCAACAGTAAAACTCAGCTTCCTTAAAAAGACTACAATTAAAACAGACTGCAAAGCAATAACAGGTGGATTAAAAGAATGCTTATCATTAGAGTAATTTAAATTGATACAAAAGATGTAAATCATACATTCACATGCTGCAAATGAAGTTAATTTATACCTACTCTCAATGCTCTCGCTGTTAGTGGTTAAACTATTTTGCCCACTAATCTTTGTGAGATAGTAATCAACCACTATTTCATAATCCTCGCTCATCCTACCCATGTATCCTTCATTACTGCTTGTTGATTCATCGACATGTAAAAGGTTATGGTCCTGTCTGTTAGGTAACCTTTCTGCTTCCAAATTGCCATTGCTTCTCACCGTCAGCCAATCTTCATCGTATTCCCAGCTGGGTAATTTTGAAGACAAAACAAGTTTGTCTTCACCCAATTGTCGGATCCTTTCCACTAAAGACTTGTTGGAAGGAATCTCAATTGTCTCCGACTCTTCCATGGAGTCCCACAAGTGTGGGTGCAGTACGTTGTTGGGTGACTCCAAGTCAGAACCGCCAGTTTCCTTCACTAGAAACATCGACTCCTTCATGAAATCGTGTGAAAGAAGTTGCGTTGCCGACCATCTCTCGGCAGGGTCTCTCCTCAAACACTTGCCTAAGAAATCCCTTGCCTGCTTCGATATATTGAATGGTATTTCCGGCACATCATTTGAGAACCCGATTCTGTACAGTGCAGAAACAGGGTCGCGAACATCAGGCCACGGTGCTCGTCCGGTAGCCATCTCGATGACCGTACATCCAAGTGCCCACACGTCAGCTGAGAATCCTTGCTGCTCGCCACGCGCCACCTCTGGCGCCATATAAACAGGTGTACCGGCAACCGACCAAGTGGTAGTCGATGCCCCATCAGCTCGCCTAGCGCAACCCAAGTCGGCGATTTTCACCCCATCATCGCTGACCAGTATATTCTGGCCCTTGATGTCACAATGCACTATTCCTCGAGAGTGCAGGAATTCAAGGCCGAGTAAAATCCCACGAGTGTACGATCGGACCATACCCTCCTCAAGGGAACCACCGTGCTTGTGAATTACGTCAGTGACGGTGCCGCTGGGGGCATATTCCAAGAAAAGATTGTATAGAAGCTTACCATTCTCGGCTGAAATGTCACACCCTTTGCATGCTACAATTTGAGGGCAGCTTAACGTAGACAAAATGCTCTGTTCCTTCCTAAGAGATTCCGATTGCGAGAGCTCAGAGGACTTAATAGCAAATACGTGACCGGAATGATCAGCGGTGGCAATAGAAACGGTGGCGGTGGAGCCACGGCCAATTGTCCGGCCACGGGTCCAATCCATTAAGATTGGAAAGGAATGTGAAAACTGAAAGTTCAGTTGGAGAATTTGGATGGTTTGGTGAGTTGTGGGTACTAAGCATTTATAAGCAAAATTTGGAGGCTTTAGTTTGGTAAAGGTTCGGCTCTAATACAAAAGAAATGAATGCCTTCTTAACAACACATTTTGTTTTGGGGACAATGGGCGGCCGCCTTTCTTACCATCTAGAAACCATGGAGTTCCACGTGGCAAAAGGAGGTTGGATTAAAAGCTTGGGCGGCGGGTTGTTTACTTGCTTAGCTTAACCATGAATCATACTGTTGTTGTAAGCTCACATGAGCCGCATGCTTAGAGTGCGGTGCTAGTTGGCACAATGAGGCCCTCTGGTAATGGTATATTCCTAGCTTTGATTACATTTAACACTAATAATGAAAGACTAAGAAGCAAACTCTTATTATTGTTGGTGTTATATAATATATCAGTGGTTCATGAACTAGTTTAAGTTATCCATTGAATATTAACTTTAGGATTTGGATTCTTTAAAACAAAGTTAAATGTCTTGAGTTCATTAACGAAATCATGATGCTATTCGCCGTTTTCTTGCAGGTTCTTTTTTCCTCATTAGCACAAGTGAAAGTGTGAAGAGTACATTGTTTTTTTTAATATGTTTGAATTAGTTCACGCAATGGCTACTTGTCAGAAACATAACCAAAAATCTGATGATAGGGTAACTGATTCTTGCAACTTAAATAACTAGATATGGTTAGTTACATTGCTTCAAATAATATAGGTGCAAGGCATGTGGGGGAAAGCAAAAAGGGTAGGTGCAGTTGAGAGAAGGAAAGGCAGCAACCTAATAAAACCCAACCGACCAGCCCTAGACCAACGCAAGACCACGTCATAAGTTGGTTGGTTATGATCTTTTACAGTAATTTGCTTTAGAGACCCATTTTTACATTTGTGGCATCTTCGAAATGGCGTCTTTTTCAAGTAAAATCCAATCGGAGCGTTGCTTTTCTCCATGTGACGGCCACCATTTATATTCCTTTTGGCTAATTGGTTGACTCAGCTTTCGGTCCATGTTTTGTAACTTTTTCTTTCCTTTGCCTACGTTTGTTGCATGCCTTATCGCCAATGCTTAATTGATTGTGGCAATCATACGAATCCCCTTTTTCTTTGCCACATACTTGTTCGTTAAGGGTTCAAAGAAAGTTCAATACTCGACAAGAAATGGAGTTTAAAGCAAGTAAATGCTATTTTCTAACACCAGGGCTGGCGGAACAGAGCAAGGACGAAAGTATTTAAAACACAGCATGGTTTTATGTTGTAATAACACAATAGTGGACGATGGACAATATTAAGAACTGAGGTCCCACACGGTAGATCTCTAAATAGTAATGGCAGCTCAGTGTCGAGTTGAAGAAGGGAACAAGAACGCATGCATACATCAATGCAATTGTTTGGTGTCTTAATTGTTCTAATCTGGGTAGTTGAAACTGGAGGTTAAAAACCAAGCACAAAATAAATGATATTTAGAGTTGGGGCAGATACTTAATCTGGTAAGCTATAGCATTGATGATGCTTGTAACACTTGTACAAATTTCTAATGATTTTAAACATGACACAAAATATAAAATAATTTGATAGGATAATATCAATTCTAAGAGAAATAACTAAGAAAAATCCAAGTTTTGAGTCAAATGAAGGCGACTTATATTTTAATGCACCTCATCGACTATTTCTAGTCTTGGCTGTTTGTTGGCTTCTGTATTTCTTGATTATATTAATGTCACTCTTTTAATGTATACTTTGTCATGCAAACTCTCCTGATTGATAAGCATAATCTCGCAATCATAGTATTCTATTAATTAACTAACAGCGATGCCTACTTGTAGACACTAATTTTCGTCCATCTTTTTTATTATTTATATATATATATTATATAGTTTGAAATCATTTTGAAAACTATATAATATATGTTTTTTTTTTAAAAAAAACATTTTGAAAATATATAATATATAGTTTTTGAAAACATTTTTGAAAAAATATATATTATATAGTTTTTGAAATCATTTTTGAAAACATATAACATATAATTTCAAAACATTTTTGAAACTATGAGTTTGAAAACATTTTTAAAAAAATATATATATAATATATAATTTTAAAATATTTTTGAAAATATATATTATATAGGTTTTTGAAAAATATTTTTTATTATTATAATTGTCATTTTTTATTTTAGTATTATTATTATTTTTATTAATTTTATTTTTATTGTTCATGTCCAATAATCAATCCAGCAAAGGGTCCACTCAGCTCCAAGGCACATCATTTACAGTATAGCTTAAGTCGAGAAGGGCTATCTGCCAAAGACCCCCGAGTTCGATTACACTCAGCTTCGATGGCACATCATTTGCAGCACAACTTAAGTCGAGAAGGGTTATCTGCCAACCAAAGACCTTCGAGTTCGATTACACTCAGCTTCGAGGGCACATCATTTGCAGCACAACTTAAGTCTAGAAGGGTTGTCTGCCAACAAAATACCTTTGAGTTCGATTACACTCAGCTCCAAGGCATATCATTTGCAGCATAACTTAAGTCGAGAAGGGTTATCTACCAACAAAAGACCTTCGAGTTCGACTACGCTCAGCTCCAAGGCATATCATTTGCAGCATAGCTTAAGTCGAGAAGGGCTATCTGCCAAAGATCCCCAAGTTCGATTACACTCAGCTTCGAGGGCACATCATTTACAGCATAACTCAAGGCTAGAAGGGTTATCTGTGACCAAAAGACCTTCGAGTTCGACTACGCTCAGCTCCAAGGCACATCATATGCAGCATAGCTTAAGTCGAGAAGGGCTATATGCCAAAGACTCCCGAGTTCGATTACACTCAACTGCGGGGTCATATCATTTACAACATAGCTCATGGCAAGAAGGGTTATTTGTCAATAAAATTGTCGAGTTTGACTCTATTCAGCTCGACGGCACATCATTCACTACTTTTCGGTTGCAGTCGAGGTTTTTAAGTCAAGAAGAAGACTCGGGTTAACCGTGCCTCGGTAACAAAGAAACTGTTTCCCGACAGCATAGCTTAAGTCGAGAAAAGCTATCTGCCAATGAAGACCCTTCGAGTTCGATTGCATTCAGCTCGAAGGTTTATCAACCACGTGATAGAGTCAAGGAACTACTTTCCAGTCGAATTTTAACCAATGTCTTTAAACCGAAAAGAAGACCGAAGTTGACTACAATTTGGCAGCGAGAAGCCACATTCACATTCCAATTCCGAACTACGGATTCAATCCCATATAATTTCAAGGTGGACTCGACTTCGTGACGGAGGAGCCATCCACATCTTAATTCAACAGGGAGTTATTCTTCTCCACCGAACGAAAATTTTTGTCTTTTTATCTTTGTCCTATTTTTCGTTACTCGAAAAATGACAAAGAGGGGCAGCTGTAGACACTAATTTTCGTCCATCATTTTTATTATTTATATATATATTATATAGTTTGAAATCATTTTGAAAACTATATAATATATGTTTTTTTTAAAAAAAAACATTTTGAAAATATATAATATATAGTTTTTGAAAACATTTTTGAAAAAAAATATATATTATATAGTTTTTGAAATCATTTTTGAAAACATATAACATATAATTTCAAAACATTTTTGAAACTATGAGTTTGAAAACATTTTTAAAAAAAATATATATAATATATAATTTTAAAATATTTTTGAAAATATATATTATATAGGTTTTTGAAAAATATTTTTTATTATTATAATTGTCATTTTTTATTTTAGTATTATTATTATTTTTATTAATTTTATTTTTATTGTTCATGTCCAATAATCAATCCAGCAAAGGGTCCACTAGTCTGGTCCAGTCAGATTTGAGCCTGATCCAGCCCGTCCAGGTTTAGGGTTTGGAAAACCCTGAAGAGACATCAAGTTACAGGCGCCGCGCATGGGGAAGTTATACACTCAAAGAGAGAGCAAGAACGGCCGGGAAAACCGGGACTGCACCATCCCGGGATTCCCAGTCACGTGAAACAACGTTAGGCCCGAAAGGTACGGGAATGACCCCGTCATCGCCGGAAACAGCCCCGTTGGGGGCTATATAAATACCAACAGGGTACACCGAGAAAGGGGGGGAGAAAGACAGCATCATCGAGAGATACCGAGAACCATCGACCACAAAACCAGTCTACACAGAACCACAAGCCTAAAGCCAAAATACCCACAACGAGAACAATACCCAAGTATCATCGGGAGCAAGCCAAACACACATCAGACAACCAAAAACCACAAACACAAAAAACAACAGAAACCAAAAGCCAAAGCAACAATCACTAGAAAAATCACAGAAAATCGAGGGTTACTCGGTTTTGTTCATCGAGAGTACGTAAGAGCCTAGCCATAACAGAGGAGTGGCCGGAACTCAAGAGACGCCGGTTTTAAAGGGTAAAAAACCGAAGCTTACACTTTAGATCTACGCCGTTTTGGGGATATTTTTGGGATTTGGACTTTGGATTGGCGCTCGGGGTGTCAAGGAGAGTGTTCTGGGCTTGTTTAGACTTTCCGGCCACCGCCAGTGGTAGCCGGATGCGGCGGCGGAAGGCGGAGTGGCTACCGGTCAGGGGCCGGCTTTCTCACCAAGGGAAGGAATGTAGAGAGGGACGAGAGAGAGATATCTGTTGAGAGAGAGAGTGTAAACTGGAAAATGGGAGGAATTTGGAGAATTAGATGCATTTTGGGGGTTTTATGGGTTCAGTGAAACGGCGCCGTTTTAGGGTGCGTTAAAACTACGTCGTTTTCGCCCTCACCATCCGTGTTTTCTGAATATAAAGGGATAATCTCCCTTTTGGTCCTCCTTATTTTATAATCCTGACGTGTAGCCATTAATGCAGCTTTCTGTTTTTTTTTTTCAATTTAAGCCTTCATTTTTTTATATTTTCATTTCAGTCACTAATTCATATATTATGTTTGATGATTTCCAGATTTGGCCCTGTAATTTATGCCTATTCTATTTTAGTCACTGTTTGATAGCTGGTTTAATTACTATTTGGTCCCCAACCTTTTTTTTCTTTTTTTTCTGTTTTTTAATTACTATTTATTTTATGTGTTTATT